AAACAAAAGAAAAATACATAATATTAATCTAGAATAACTTATTCTAGAAGAAGCTGTGTTGGTTCTCTACTACAACTTCCTTTTTAGATGTTCTATAACTATCACATTAATCCTGGAACTAGACCATTAATCAAAGTCAAGCTCATAGTCCTATGGTCCATTAATTTCCCTTTTTTTGAAAATCAGGATCTCTGTCCTTCTCTGATCCCTCCCATACTCTACCATCTCTGAAGGATTACTAGCTATGGTTCAGCACTTACAACTGCCAGATCTATCAGTATCTTAGGATGTGGTTCATTTGGTCCAGGGGACTTGAAATGACCAAAAGCAGCTAAGTATTCTGTTTCTTGACTATCCTCTTAGTTAACACAAATATAAATTGCCTATTTGCCATCTCTGTCTTTCTCCAAAGTCAAAATCATTCTCAATGTCAGAGAAAAGAGAAGTAAAACAGTAATAGCATAGCTCTGTCTTCTATACCTCAGCATTTATCATCCTTCCCACCCTAGGTAATAATCACACACTTTCTCTTTTCCTGAACATGGATTTTAAAGGGTTTTTTCCTCATCCTTAGCTTTCTTTGCATTTCTAACACTATTCTCACAAGACGGCACTATATTTTTGTAGTCATCTTCTGTTATCTGAGATTGCATCCATTTCCTTTAAATTCAGCTGAGCAAGTTGGGTTGTAAGTTGCTTGTGGCACCACACAGTTAGTTGCTTGTGACAACTCCCATTTTTTTCCTGCTCAAAAGAATTTCTATTCCTTACAGCTACAGAATGCCATTCTTGAGGGATTACTCCCACCCTGAGCTGACTTCCTCTGCCAGAATTTGGGCCATGGGATCCTACACATCCTTTCACTGAGCCCTTTGAAATCTGCTCTCCCACATGTGCATTAGAATATACCCAGATTTCCTCTCCTTCCATATTAAAATTGTAGGGGTTAGATTATGTGCCTAAATTCAAGAAAAAAAATCATATAAAAGTATATTTCAGTGTTTTATGATAAGCATGAACAAAAAGAATTACCATGTTTTAACTATAACTTGTGCACCAAACTCAGCTACAGAAAATGAGAAAGGGTAGACATTCTATGAGGAACTCAATAAAACTTCCAAAATAAATCAGAATATATTTTAATGCTTTTGCCACCAATACAAACATAAACATAGTGGAAGATGCCAAAAAATGCTGGAAAATATTACTCAGGATTAAGAAATAAAAGAGGCATATAGTCTATACTAAAGTCTCTTGATGATCATGATAAATGCTAAAAAGAATTTCAAAAGGACCTAGAAATGGTGAACAATGAATAATATTACACACAAAAAGGAAACTGACTGTCTCTTAACACAGAAAAAATAATAGATTTCTGATACGGGATCCATTTCCAAATCAGACAGCTGCGTAAATTTATTCCATTAACATATTAAAGCTAAGTTCAATATCAACAGCAAACTAGAAGAACAAATAAGAATAAAAAGAAAATGTATCGTGCACCTAAAATAGCTCCAACCTGATATATTTTGAACAAGTTTTTAACAACTTCAGTGATAACTGAATAAAAGACATTGATATAAGCAATCATCATTTCCTCAGTTCATTCAAGAAGTATAGAGGAATCAACAGTATAATGAAGACAAAAGAACCCTGAAAACACCAAATGCTTAATTCTTGCTTTCAAGTATTCGAAACTTCAATATAGAATATGAACTCACCTGCAAAATCTTACAGAGACAGTAGTCTAAGATTATGAACAGTATTACATCATAAGACAGTAACAAAAATGAATTTGCATGATACTTTTCATGACAACCAATTGAGACCATCCTCAAAGCACTTAAAGATGAAAACTGAAGTTGAAAAAATGGAAAAAATCAGTCAACACTTCTATAGCAAACTTCTTCAGGAATTTTGGGATTTTAATATCACTATATTTGAATTCTAAATTCATACTCTCAAGATGCTACATCAATGGTGTGAAACTCAGAAAGGAAGTCATTAAATCATATATGTAGGTCCCTGCTGTCTTAAAATTGACTTAGAAAACCACACATTAATATTGTATTTTTACTTCTTTCGTAAATATTTCCCAATTACATTTTAATCTGGTTAGGGACACACTCTGGAGTGTTGCAGACCGTAACATGACCCATTGAGTTTTTGATTCCTCCATGCTACATGCAAAAACAGAAATGGCACTCTTAAAGAAAGGAAAGAATAAAAGAGTAACTATATCAAACCATGTACATATGACAGAGATCTGAGTTGAAGGTGACACAGTTTTGAGGGCAGTGAGTAACTGATTCTTAATATATATCAAAGAGGGGAAGATATTCCAAAATGGGGAAAATAATGAATCAAACATAGAATTAAAATGAAATATAGCCAGACACTAATAATTAGTAACCTATATCGATACTTTCTCAACTCTACAAACTGTTTATAAGGATCATTTACACTTAGATCAATGATATCCTTGGTGAAAATATGAGAAAGGAAGAGCTAGGCACTTGAGAATAATATGATAACAGAAGAATACATCTTTCCAGTTACATAAATATCTTTTAAAATGCAGCTAATATAATATTCCAGTATGTTCACAGAATATAAAAATGAATTATTCTAGAAGAGCAAAACAAAAAAATAAAAACACTTTCAACAAGATGTCTACCCTACATATTTTGTATAATCATACAAAAGTTTTTGATAACAACAAGAATAAATTTCCTCAATTTTCAGATATTAATATCAAGCAAGACATAAAACAAGGATAGGTATGTTCACCAAATATGTTTGCCAATATCAAGAAGGACATTCAATGCAAAATCAAAATGCCTTAAAAATAGTGAACTACTTGAAAGAATTAAATCTAACAATATGGAAAAAATCAAGCTGATTAAGAATGCTTGTCAGCTAAGCTGCCGGTCAGCAAACTATAGTCTGAGGACCAAATCCTGACCACCATCTGTTTCTGCACTGCCCACGAGCTAAGAAAGGTTTTTGTATCTAAAAATGTAAAAAAAAAAATTCTTAGTTCACAGGCCATACAAAAATAGGCAGCAGGCAGGATTTGGTGCATGAGCCATAGTTTGCCAATTCCTGGTCTAGAATAAGATATGAGCTTGAATTTAAAATCTCATTGAGTTGGTCCAGCAGCTCATGTTTGGGCAGACAATGCAGATGAGCAATGAGCAGAGCAAAGAACAAAATAGAAGGAAGTGAGCTGAATTGCATCTGAAGAACTATACAGTACTTACGATGACTCCAAGTTTCTCCCCGAAACAAAAATCCAGCTTTTTAACATGAACATTCTTCCTTTGATATTACAAATCTCTGAAATGAGTTGTGTGCAGCATAAGAGCAACAACAACTTCATCAAAAGAAATCATAAAAAAGATAAGACCTATGACTGTAAACAGAGCTGAGTTAGTAATACAGTAAGAGCAAGGGATAACAACAGATAGACAGCCCCCATGCTATGCTGGCATCACACATGTTCAGAGACGTAGAGGAAAGCTTCATGTACACTGGGTAGGAACCCTGCTGAAGATTTATAGAATGGCAGGTACAAGAGTCACACAAGAGTAGAAGATTACGAATGGATTATAATGTATACACCTGAAACAAGTAACTATAGTGATATGCTGACAGATTCATAAAAAAGTTGACCAGGAAAACAGATTATGAGGTAAGCAAAATTAAGAATCAAATGCAAAGAGAAGAACAGTGTTCCATAAAAAAAAGAGTGCAACTTACTGGGGAAGAAATACATTTAAGTAAAATAGTTAAAAAACTGCTTAATAATAATAACATATAATTATAATAAAAGCTAGCATTTATAGAAAGCCTACTATGTGCCACAACAACCCAAAGCTCACAACAACCCTAGGGAGGTAGGGGCTATTACTATTCCTCATTTTACAAATAAGGAAACAGACAAACAGAGGGTAAGTGGCTTGCCCAAGATCACACAGCTAGGAAGGACCCAAGGTCATGCTTGAACTTAGGTCTTCCAAACTCCACGCCAAGCACTTTATCTACTAAGCCACCTAACAACTGAAAACAGTATAGCAGTTTGGTGGAAAATGGCATTAGACCAGACTAGAAATTCCAAAAAGGTAAAATCTAATATTGAGATAAATCTAAACAGTTTTTAATTATACTCTCAATAATTTAGAAGAAAATATAAAGTTCTATCTTTTCCAAATCCTGATAGTAGAAAATTTCTTAATTCTCAGGGAGAAAATACAGTGAAAAAGGCTATGACTTGGGGAATACCCATGGATGTTAAGGAGAAGAAAATCACTAAAGGAGACTAAGAAATCAAACAAATAAGAGGAAAAACTAGTGCCATGTAGCACAAATGAGGAGACAGTATCCAGAAGGAGAGAGCAGCCAATAGTATTAAACATTACAGAAAAGACAATGAAGAATAGGAATAAGAAAAAGGTTATGGGATTTACAATTAAGATCTTAAAAAGAACAGTTTTAATAAAGTGATACACTTGGCAATGAGATTGCTTAAAGATAGCAATAGCACCATAATATTTATTATATTAGCAATCTCAGCATCAGGGAATAACAGTTGAGAATGACTGTTCTTAAGGATTATGGAAGTCAAATATACTACTTAAAGTAAGCTTCAACAGCATTTTATTTCCATCCACGATCAATTTTTGGTAGTCCAGCAAGAGTTTAATGGCAAAGTGGTACTTTTCTGCAGGGATACCCAATGTAATTAACAGGATACACCAAAAAATGAGCTCGAAGCTTAAAATTACATTTTGACTAGATGATATATGATACTCTGAACATCAAAAAATAATAATAATAATAACACAGTAGAAGTAGGTAGTAAGCTAAGCGTTTGGTTTATACAATCTTTTACTCTCATTAATGAGAACACTGTCAGAAAACAATTACACAATCAGACTTCTGCATGTTTCATAAAATCTTTATAACAATCTAGAAAATGTTACTGTAAAATAACTTACATTTTTAGTTTTGCAAAGGTCTCTTGTGAATTATGTTTTTCTCGCTCATATGCACTTTCAACTTCTTTGAACTCATTCTTGATCATTTCCAAATCAGCCACAGCTTCTGCTTGGCTCACCTTTTCTACTTGCAAGGCTCCTTCGAGATCTCGAATTCTTAACTACCAGGTGACAAAAAAAGCAATTAAAGCAAGCTGAGAAAAGCTATAATCAAACTTAAATCGAGTAGAATACTTTGTCAACAGTAAGTCATTATTCATTCAAACACACCTTGCTTGCCGCTTTGTTTTCTAAAGGAAAAGCAAGCAAAAAATAGCTTTTCTTTCAATTCTATCTGTATTGGGTTTAATGTTATTGTTACTAGCATTATTGGTAATAATGAAGGTAACAGTAAAAATAAAGAGGAGGAATTAATGGCAGTACAAAGAAGTGAAAGGCTAGGGTCATAACAGTCTGACAGGCTTTAATATTAATGTATTAATCCATTCTAATATTTCTCTTCTACATCATGAAATTATAAAGTAGTTTGTCAATGAAGAAATGACAGTATCTATCTTACAAACACTTTAGGAAATTTCTGCAGTTGACTGAAAAGATCTCTCTTTTTTTTTTTGTAGTAAGGCAACTGGGGTTAAGTGACTTGCCCAGGGTCACACAGCTAGTAAGTGTGAAGTGTTTGGTCTGAGGCCACTTTTGAACTCAGGTCCTCCTGACTTCAGTGCTGGTGCTCTATCCACTGCGCCACCTAGCTGCCCCTCATCTCTTATGTTTTAAAGGCATTACTTTGCAATTGTAAAATTTTTCAATTTAAAAACAAGTTGCTAAAAAAAATTTAAAGTAACTATTTTAAATCATTATAAAAATATTCCAAAGCTGAATAAAGGATCAGGAAAAAGAAATACTGGTTCAATTTGTAGGAGATTTTCCATTTTGATTTTGTTAACGTTAACAATAATTTTCCTTCATTTTTACTGCTTTCTTTTAAACCAGTCTAATCCTATAAAATCAAAATAGAATATTAGAAAATATTTTCTCCTGGAAATATCATTGTATTGTAAAGTTATTCTTAATTATAAAGGGGAACTATCAAGTTGAAAAATTAAATTGAAAAAGTCTTTTTTTAACTACCAGTACTTCAACCAAGTCATGTTTCACTTACTAATTTTCATATACAAACTTCAAATATAACAGATCGTTTTAACAAATATACTTAATAACCAATTACAGAATTAAGATTTTTCATATTATCATTTAAATGTGGCAGTCTCATTTGCTTGCCCCAAAAAAATGAGATTTTTTTAAATCTAAAAAAACTGTTACGTCCCTAGAAAATACATTTGTAGTATTAAGAGAATAATGGATAAATTGTTAACTTTTTGCCTTTTTCTCTGCTGTAGCAATGAACTGGAAAATAGCTACAATCCCTTAAACTTGAGCAGCCAACACATAATCTGTTTCCTAATATTAAGGACTTAATACTCATAATCACAATGATACACTGCGACTTTGATAGGAACCACAATTTTGAATTAACTGAATTTCCATGTATTTCTGTCATAATTCTGTATTAACTTTGATAGTCATCATTTTTTTAAAAACTGTTTAAACTTTTTACTTAAAGGAGAATACCAAAGAATTTTAAATAATTTGAAAACTATCAAACATATATGGAGGCATATATATACATATACATTTCACAAAAGAAAATTGCAACTACATTACAAATACATTATTAAATGAAAATACATAATTGTTCATGTGGTATACTGGTATGCTTTCATTAAGGAATTACTCAATTTTCATGGAAGAATATTATTTTTCTATTAGACTTGAAAATAACTTTGAAATCCTTATTGTACTTTGCCAGCTCAAATACTTTTTTGTCATCTTAATAGTTCTTAATATCTTGTTTGATTTTGGAAACAGAGAAAGTAGATGATTAAAGTAGCATTTTTAAACTTGCTAGAGCTACTAAGATTAATTTTCCTCCTGGAAATAAATACATTTCCTTATATTATGTTTCATTCAGTTCTAATGTCAGCATTCAAAAATAATGATTGACATAATACATATTTTTCCCATAATTCCTATTCCAATATGTTCTCCAGGTATGAAGGTGCCCCTGGGTTTGAGAAATCTAAAACAACAGAATTAAAACTTCTCAAGTTCTGCCACGCTGAAAAGACTTAAAAGTAGAGGTCCTAGAAATAGACTGAGTCTGCTATCTACAAAGGAACTTAGATAAATACGTATATATTTATCATCAGGATGTTGGCCTTTTGGTGATGAATTTATTGGCCATGTTAAACCTGAAAAACATGGATGTGTATGTAATCTTATAAACTTAGGAGTTTGGCTAGTAATGCTGTTCACACAACCCACCATGACAGCCCATATAAAAAATAAACAAAGAAATACTCCCCCCTTCATTTCCAATGTGATCTTAATGAAATGGCAGAAAAGGAGGCAGAGAGTGTAAGAGTCACAATTTTTAGATCAACTATAAACATTAACTTTACTATATTATATATACTTGAAGTATACTTGAAATGTGATATCCTTGTTCTGTGCAAATAAATAAAGTATTGAAAAAATTGGACAAAAACAATATTGCTACTCTCTAGATGGATTAAAATAAAAGACAAAATGAAGTTCAAACTAAATTGAATGATACAACATAAGTATTCCTTGGAGAAGAAAACAAAGATACTAGCGGTTTTGGTTTCACCATTCATATCCAACAAGAAACATCATGTCATGGACACTGGGTCATTTTCTCTTATAAAACTTGGGAGTGAAGGAAAAGAAGAAAAAAAGACTAACCTAAAGATAATTAAAGTTTAAATATCAACATCTGTTACAGAGGATGAAGAAACAGAAAAATTATAAAAATGTGACAAGATTGTTCAAAATAAGTGGGAAAATAAGCATGGCTCCAAAGAAGATATTTGTGAAGAAACTACTTTGCAAAGGTCGTTCCACAGACGTGGAACATTTCATATATTTTCAGACCTTTTGTATGTATTGATTGGTTTCTTTAACTTTTTTCTCTTCTTACTCTTTTTATTCCCTTAGAAAATATTATTTGTTATGCAGAATGGCTCCCTGGGAGGGGAAAGAGAAAGTGGGAGAAATTTGGGTAATGTAAAAGTAAAAGATATTAATAAAAATTATTTTTTAAAAAAAGACAAAAGACATCAGGATTCCCCGGTAGTGTGGTAATAGCAAGGCATGACAGATGATGAACTTAAGTCAGGCAATAGTACATATTCATTGCAAAAAGATCTATAGGAAAAAATACAGGTCAATTGCTGGATTCTTATTGGAGAATCTAGGGAAGAAACTAGACGAGATACACAAGACAGGAAAGTATAGATAAACTGCAATTTATGCCAATGGAAGGAATACCTATGTAGATGAGATCAGAGATTCAATGAAGGGTTAAAGCATTATACATTCAGAAGTAATGTAATCTTAAACTTAATGCTCAGACATAAATATTCACAAAAGAAATTTTCATATTATCAGAAAGCAGTATTAGCTATTTAACATCATTAATAATAACTACTTAGGAGGCTAATCTATAGGCAATAGGCAAGTAACAAAAGATATTTTAGTTTTAATTCCACAAGCAAAGCTATACATTACAAATATTACATTTATAAGGTTTTAAGATTTAATACAGAAGCACTAAATTGAAAAAGATGTTAATAAAATCAAGGGACAGTCTTTTCCCTAAAAATCTGATTTCTTCTCCTAAGTCGGAAAACCTAATAGCCTCTCAGACAACTCCCAGAGTAACATAAAACTACTTGGGAAAATGAGATCACTAGATATACAGATGTACTAAACCAAGGGACTACATGGCTTAGTCTGTATAACAGTACAGTGACTAGAGTTACGGCCTTGGAGTCATGAAGACTTGGGTCTGAATATTGTCTTTGACACTTACTAGTTGTGCAACCATGAGCCAGTTATCTAAACTCAGTGAGTCTCGGCTTCGTTATTTGTAAAATGGGAATGAAAATCGCACTAATTACTCAAGATTGTTGTTATGAAAACAAATGATATAACATGGGTGAAAAACTTTGCAAACTTTCAAGAATTAAAAGAATGTTTACAACATGACTAATGTGAAAATTTTTTAAAAGTAAAAAAAAAAAAAAAGAATTATAAGAATGTCAGTTGTCATTGTTCATCCTTGACCTCTCTATAGCCTTTGATACTGTTGATCACCCTGCGCTCCTTCTAGGCTTTAGGGCCCCACTCTCTCCTGGTTCTCTTTTCACTAATATGACCACACCTTTTCAGTCTTCTTTGCTATATCCTCTTCCAGATCATGCCCTGTAACTGCAGGTGTCCTCAGGATTCTGTCCTGAGCTCTCTTCACTTCTCCCCTATATTAATTCACTTGGTGATCTCATCAGCACCCAGAGATTTAAATACCATCTTTATGCTGATAACTTTTAAATCTACCTCTCAAGCCCCAACCTCTCAGCTGACCTCCAGCTCACATCTCCAACTTCCTTTCAGACATCTCAGACTGGATGACCAGTAGGCAACCTTAAACTAAACAAGTTCAAAACAGAACTCATCTTTCCCACTAAAACTTTCCCCGCTCTGACCTCCCCTATTACAATAGAGGGTAACACCATATTCTTAGTCGCCAGGCTCACAACTTAGGCGTTATCATTGTCTTCTCACTATGTCTATATCCCTATATCCATTCTGTTAACAAGGCCAGCTGATTTCACCTTTGCAATATCTCTAAAATATTACTCTAACAATGCCATCTCTCTAGTGCAGGCCCTCAACATCCCACCCCTGAAACACTGCAAAAGTCTGCCATTGTATATACCTGTCTCAAATCCTCTCCCCATTCCAATCTATCCTCCATTCAGACACCAAAGTGATTTTCCTAAAGGGCAGGTCCAACTAGGTCACACACTGCCTCCCTCCCATTCAATAAACTCCAGTAGACCCTATTGCCACCAGGATCAAATACAAAATCCTCTGACATTCAAAGCCCTCCATACTCTAAGTCCTTCCTACCTTTGCAATCTTCTCACAACTTAATACTCACCACATACTCTTTGATCTGGGGAAGCTAGCCTCCCACTATTCCATGAAAAAGTCACTCCATCTCTTGACTTTGAGCATT